GCAGGGTCCACCCTGGTCAGAGAGGCAGGGTCTACCCTGGTCAGAGAGGCAGGGTCAAACCTGGTCAGGGAGGCAGGGTCCACCCTGGACAGAGAGGCGGGGTCCACCCTGGTCAGAGAGGCAGGGTCTACCCTGGTCAGAGAGGCAGGGTCAAACCTGGTCAGGGAGGCAGGGTCCACCCTGGACAGAGAGGCGGGGTCCACCCTGGACATAGAGGCAGGGTCCACCCTGGTCAGGGAGGCAGGGTCCACCCTGGACAGAGAGGCGGGGTCCACCCTGGACAGAGAGGCAGGGTCCAACCTGGTCAGGGAGGCAGGGTCCACCCTGGGCAGAGAGGCAGGGTCCAACCTGGTCAGAGAGGCAGGGTCCACCCTGGACAGAGAGGCAGGGTCCAACCTGGTCAGGGAGGCAGGGTCCACCCTGGACAGAGAGGCAGGGTCCAACCTGGTCAGAGAGGCAGGGTCCAACCTGGTCAGGGAGGCAGGGTCCACCCTGGACAGAGAGGCAGGGTCCACCCTGGTCAGAGAGGCAGGGTCCAACCTAGTCAGAGAGGCAGGGTCCACCCTGGTCAGGGAGGCAGGGTCCACCCTGGACAGGTCTCCGCACCATCACAGGGCAATAATTGCAGCTCTACTTAAGGCTAAATTCTTATCATGTTGATGTTTAATTTAATTAAAATTTTTATCTGCAGATGCATTCTTTAAGGCTACATTGACAACGCAGCCTGAAGTGACCAAAATCCGATTTTTTTGGCCCATACGCGACCTGGATCTGATCTTTTCATGACAGTCTGAACAACACAGATCCAATTTTTTCCAATGCGACCCAGGCCACTTGGCTCTGTGGGCCTGAGTCCGATACGAATCTGATTTTTTCAAATGCAACCTGTGTCTGAACGGCCAGGTCGCAGTCATTATTACCCGACAAAGGTCACTATTCTGCTTCTTGCTATGCAGAAGTGGAAAAACAACAACCACGGCAGACGATGATGCAGAGAGCAGTATTTATGTTTAACCATCTTGGAAAGATTGAGTTTTTAAGGTTGGGAAAGATTGCAAGAAATTCTCCAGCACTACCATCCATGTTTACTTCCGTTAACAGAGCAGGCTGGCCTGTGACGTCATTGCGTCTTCTACTGCACATGTGGGACACTTAGGTTGTATAAATGCAATTCAAACAGGGGATCGCATGCAAGTCCCATATATTTGGAAATGTGAATGGCAATGCAAAAAAATGGGAACTCACAAAAAAATCCAATTTGAGCAGCAAGGCGTGTGTAAACATTGCCTTTGTTTGAAATACAGTGAAGAAATTCAAACCCTCCTTGTCTCTCAGGCCTTCCTTTGCACTCTGAGAGAAGTTAAAGATTAAAGATATTTAATATTTGAGGGGAGTGGCGGCCTAGTGGTTAGAGTTCGATCCCCCACTCCCACAGACTGCCACTCTGGGTCCCTGAGCAAGACCCTTACCCCCACACTGCTCCCCGGGGGCCGTACAATGGCAGCCCACTGCTCCCCAAGGGGATGGATTAAATGCAGAGAATTCATTTCCCTCTTGGATTATTAAAGTATGTTTAAAAAAATAAAAATAAAAGTGTCCAAAAGCCCATAGATTTTTTTCTCTCTTATTAAACGTTAGATTATCTTTTTAAAAGTAAAATTGCACAACATCTGCATATCCTTCCTGTACACTATGACCTCCAACAGATCTGAAGGACAGGGACAGCGACTGAACTTGAGTCTTGTACGTCAAAGTTACCTTCTCCCAGCAGAAGCAGTGGACACGCACCCAGAGCTCCTTTCCTTCCTTATTTTTTATTTTGATTACGTAGAGACCCCTGCACCTGTGAGTCTGCGCCTGCTCAGTGAGCCAGAGGGGACTGGAGAGGAAAGGAGTCGCTGTGTGTCGGTGTTGCCATATCTGCAGATTTATTAGAAAAAGATAATGCTTCTTGCTTTTAAATCCCTCAGCCGTGACAACAGAGCCCAGCTCCACCTCTCTTGTCAGACTGTGGTAATATTCTGCCTCGCTCATCTGTCCATCTGCCACAACAACTTCCTTCCTTCCGTTCCTACCAGAAAATGCAGATGGATGAGAATCATTATCTTATTAAACCTAAAAACCTTTTGCAGCGCACCATCCTGCTTTGTGTTTGCAGCTGCAAAGCAGACAGCTTGGCTCGCTGTTCTGGAGTGAATGAAAGAGTTTAAGCAATAAAAACTAACCCCCCCACTCAAACACACACTTTGATGTGGAAACAAACTTTCTCCGTCCTCCCCCTCATCCATCCTCTAAGTTCCTCTCTCACCGTTTGCATCACAGAACCCACGCTGGTTCACATTCGGCGCACCACGTCTTCTCTTGATGCTGCTCACTTGTGAGCGCGTTAGTACATGCCGTGGGCGGTGCAAACTTCTGCTGGAGAGACTTGGCCTGTAGATTGTCTCACAAACATGGAGACTTCTGCTTATGTCTCCTGGTGTGTCTTTGCCTTTTATTCCTAACCCTCTATTTTGATTCCTCTAAATGTGCGTTGACAGGATATGTGTGAACCACTAGATCACTGCAGTGAAACAAAAAAAACTCAGACTTTTTTAAAACTTTCTTCTATGTGTTGCCTCATGTGTTGTTAGTGACTGTATTAGGCTTTAGGTCCTGACATGTCAGCATAGGGGTCTTGCTTCCCACAGTGGTTTTACTGCACGTGTTGCTTCTGGAAAGAAAACTACTCTTTCAATATGAGGTGTCAGGTGGTTGATTGCATCATCTGAAAGACTTGATGGGAAAAATACTAGCTATACATTTCCATACTGCACAATAGACACTATGTTAGAGAAGAAGCAACGCAGAGGCTTGGAGTTTGGCAGACTGTGTTTGATCTGTTTTTAAATAACAGTTAGATGTCTTACTGACTGTCCTCCAAGGTGTAATTACCGTAGGAGCGCCGAGTGGACCTATAGACCCCTCACCAAGTCATAGCCTACTTCTATTGCTATTGCTATGTGTTATTTCGTATCCAGGAGAAGGTTTCCTCTCAGATATTTAAAAAAAATAATGCAACAGTTTTTGGCCTTTACTTAATCAGATGTAGTTACTTTAACAAATTGCTTTATGTCCTGCCCTGCTAACATGAAACTATGATGAAGTAAATGCCAAAAATGGTTGCATTATTTTTTCTCAGTGTGGATAAAAAAGTGGAAAATAAATAAACTGGAAGAGTATCTGAACTCCTGTTCAGGTTAGATTTTATTTCAGAAACATGTTTTCTTTCTTACATTTTGACCTGAATGGTGAATGGGATGACCCTAACCTCTAATTAGAAATGTGCTTCTTCGTTGGGTTTCTGTCCTTGTCATAGCGCTATGCTTGAGATGTAATTCTTTTAGTTTTTCTTGTAAATATCATGTCTTTCTTGACCTGCTCACCTGAGTGAAGTTGCCCCCCCACCTTATTCAAATCAGACAAAATTGGTGTCAAATGTTTGTGCTATGTTTGTGCAGCAGACATTTTGGTTTGTGCCGCTATCGTTCTAAAGATATAAAGAAATATTTCTACAGGTCATCAAAGGTCAACCAGCCCCCCCACCTTCTTCAAATCAGATGAAATGGATGTCAATTAACTCAGCTCCGTTTGTGCTGGTTTGTGCAGCAAAAATTGTCGTTTGTGGTGCTTTGGCTTTGAAGATATTAATGAAAATGTAAAGGTCAAAAGGTCAACCAGCCCCCCAACCTTCTTCAAATTAGACAAAATTGGTGTCAAACGTTTGTGCTACGTTTGTGCTGGTTTGTGCAGCAAACATTTTCGTTTGTGCCGCTTTCATTTTAAAGATATAAAGAGATGTTTCTAGAGGTCATCAAAGGTCAACCAGCCCCCCCACTTTCTTCAAATCGTCAAATCCAAAACAGCACAAACGAAACTTTTTGCTGCACAAACCAGCACAAACGGAGCTGAGTTAATTGACATCCATTTCATCTGATTTGAATAAGGTGGGGGGGCTGGTTGACCTTTGATGACCTCTAGAAATATTTCTTTGTATCTTTAAAACGATAGCGGCACAAACGAAAATGTTTGCTGCACAAACCAGCACAAATGTTTGACACTAATTTTGTCTGATTTGAAGAAGGTGGGGGGGCCAACTTCACTCAGGTGACCTGACCTCCTCTGACCTACAGCTGAGATCCTTCCCATCCACCTTGAACTCCTGTACAGGTAGAATTATGGCATTTTGATTTAAATCTAAATATCTGATTAGTACTGCAGACGTACAGCTGAGGCATGAAGTCCTTTAGGTATTTAGAGAAGAGAGTTTTTTGTTAATATTATCCAGGTTAACTGGTGTCTTAATCATAGATATATAAAATAGCCAATTAAATAGCCAAAAGTGTGTCTGAATGACTTGAGTAGAACAACTTTAGGATTATCGATCTCCTTTAGGAAGAAGCAATCTTTAGCCAGAAAAAAGGGCTATAAAAAGGAAAACAAGCTTTTGCAAAAACTGCAAAGTGCAGAGCTGCGTGTCTGTGGCGTTATCTCTGAGTCAGGGCTAAAGTCTGATAAAACTTCTTTCCTGTCAAGGACTACAGTTAAGAGAATGTGTTCTCTGTGTCTTCATGAGGGGAACCTGGTCATCTTTTATGTGTCAACTCTTGATGGAAAAGATAACGGTGCAAGAAAAACCCTGAGAAAAGATTTTACTGAGGACGGCTTTGTGTGAAGTTAAATGGTGGATCTCTCCTCTGTGTTCCTTAATTTAGGTCGTCATGATGCTCCCTGTGCTGAACCACTTCTCTCTGTTAATCAAAGGTTCAGCTTCTGTTTAGGACACTGCTTTTCTTACCATTCAATGTTCTCTGTTGGAGTAAGCTCAAACTCAGTCTCAGTGCTAGTTGTGGTTTCTGAGTGAAATTGTTTTGAATTAGTTTTGCAAACCCACATAAATCATTAGTTTGACACATGATGCGACTTTGACATCATTTTTCTATTTCTTCCTTTGTGTGCAGATTGATCTGGAGCCAGAGGGGAAAGTCTTTGTTGTTATTGACCTTTCAGGCTCTTCCAGTGAAGGTAAGCGCGCCTTAACATCGAATTACATTCATCCTGATGGAGCCTAATGAGAAGAATACTGCTGATAATGTTTTTCACATTTAAGCTTTGATTTTGTTTGTAGCTGTTACCTTTTTTATATAAAGCTAAACAGTCACAGCCACTTTCAGAAGCATGCACAATGAAAACGTGCAACATGCTGCAGCAACTTTCAGATTCCACTGACTCACCCAGGCGTTGCGTGGGTTTATACATCATGTCCTGTTGGAACTCTAACAATGAAATATTTTCATTAAACCACAAAATCGGTCAATAGACTTTTTTTTTTTTTTTTACAAGGAAGTTCAGTGTTTTTAGACATAAATTTTTTTTAACGATATTTCTAAAAGACCCTGTTAAGGTTTGTGGGGCTTTTTTTAAACTTGAATTTCTCAAACTGAATAGGTTGCAATGGTCATTAAGGAGGAAATACATTTTGTAAAACATATTTTTTTTTTTTATCAGAATCGGGCCCGTTTTGTCTAGTTTGAGACAGTCCTGCCTTTACCCAAGCAGTGACATCTTAAAACTTCTTCAAGAGAGCAGAACATTTTCTGGTTTCCTATTTACTCCATTCTAGGGAGTTTTAAATTATTGTTTCTCTTAAATAAAACAGATTTTTGAAAAGTCCAGTAAGTAACAACCAGATATTCCTATTAACCAACAAATTACACAAATTATAATTAAGAAACTGAATTTTCACTTCAATTAAAAAATATATATATTGGGGGGGGTTTTTTCAGTTAAAAAGTTTTTATACTTGGATGGGGTCGTTTTTCAATCGTATCGAAAATCTTATATCACAAGACTGCAGCTGAAACTATTTTTTTGCATCACATGAATCAGGTGATCTGCAGCTGGACCTTACTGTCTTGTAGAAGCAGTCGGAGGATGATGGCGCCCTCTAGAGCCGTGGCTAATATATGGATATATCTCTTGCATTAACACCTGCCGCTTCCATGTTGTTTTCACATCATGTATACACACGTAAAGGTGTACAACTTTAATTTTATATGTTTTTTTTTTCATGGAAATACTGCAATTGCAAAACTTAGATCATTTGTAATGGAAACGCAGCTTATGTCTGACATTGTCTAAAACCAAACATCTGTCTCATATAACATACCACTTGTTAATTCTCCACAAGCTCTGAGACTTTCAGACTTCAATGCTCTTTGATGTATAGTTCAAAGATACATTTTTTGCTTTTCTGCTCATAATTTTAAGATCTTTTTGCATAGTAATACTATTTGTTATTTTAACATAGAAAAATGATCTACTAATTGTTTGCATGCATAAAACATGTGCAAAGCTGATCTACTAACAAGCCACAGCAGTGAGCATCAAAATGTTCTCGTTTCTGCCAACTGTCCGCCTGCACTTTGCCAAAGAACAGTCAGTTTTCCTCTACTTGTCTGTTGGTTCCACTCTAGCTGATTATTTCATACATCTGAGAAAAAAATGTTTTAATTTTTGTAAAATACATAAATATTAACACCGCTAGTAAACCACAGCATCCAGGTCAAAACCCTTGAAATTCTAAATGACTGTGTTTTTATCGTGCATATTTATTTTCATTTCTATGTTAAATGGAAACACAGCTAATGTTGCAGGACATTTAATTCTTCAGGTTATCTGGTGATTTTTTTGAATGATGCAAGCTCAAATCTGGAGGTTTGTTCACAAACATGACAATCCATTTTTTCCCCACTTAAACTGTTCAATGCCGACCCTCAACCAACACACAGCCATATTAAAGTTTAAGGCGGGATGTACAGCTGTTTGGAGCAGGGCCGGAAATCATTTGATTAAGAAATAAAGACAATTTCATTTAAAAGAAGAAAAAAAAATAAAACTTCATTATCATATTTCAGATTCAAAACTATTGTATTTATAAGGGATAAAAATTCATCTAGTTGGTTGGCCGTCACATTTGCATGTTCCAATTAAGGGTAAATACTCTTACTGATACTGATTTTAAAAATCCTTTACTCATCTGCAGCTCAGTCTTTTGCAGTGCAAACTGTAGTAGGCGAGCACCAGGTGTGCTTCACCGTCTTTTTGTCCCTGTTTCTCCAGACTTGGAAATGAAATTTTTAAATAAAAAATGTTTATTCATACGGCTGCAACCTTTGAATATGTATTGATGCCAAATGAATTTGACGCCCTTGTTCTAAACGTCTTCTTTTGAAATATAATAATCTGGATCATTTTAGAGTTTTAATGCAAATGTGATCAGAACACAGCCTCAAAGAGAACTTATTATGATCTTCATCTGTGTGCTTGTAGAAAGGAGAGAGAGAGAGGAAGGGTGGGTGTTGATAAATTGATTAGTAAAGTTCTCTAACAGATCGTTGAAGAATCAGCAAGAGGTCAGCTCAGGTTGACAGCTGTTGTTTTAGCCTGATTTTTGTTTACATGACTTTTTTCTGCTCCTTTTAATGCGTGCCGCTCCGTCCATAATGTTTGCTGCAGACACAAGTATGATCTGCTGAAATCGCAGCCATTACTTGAATGTGTTTGCGTTGCAGGGAGCAGATGGCAGAGAAGTTTGTCCAATGAGCTGCATGCAGCCCATTAACTTTAATACACTCATATAAACATACAAACACACCAGGCTGAAAAACTCTTACCTTTGGTTAAAAGCACTTGAAGCACTTTTGGCCCAGCTGTTCTCAGAGTTAGGGCTTCATTAAACCTGCTGCAATGGATTCATGTGGATTACTCATATGCAACATATTGCAAATCCAATACTGTGCAGCCATTTAAATATGCATTATATATACTGTAGGGCTGAAACAACTAATTGGACAAATCGTGATTAATCGATTATAGAAATAATCACCAACTGTTCGTTAACAGGGGTGTAGAGACTCTAAAACGTGTCTTTAGCTGACAGAGCGTCACACTTAGAGCAGGAATTAAACCGAGATTGTAAGAAAATTTACATTTAGGATAAAATAAACATTTTCTTCTGTCAATATTCTCTAACCAGAACTCTTCAAGTGGAAAAGTTTTAGTTTCACCATGTTTAATTTTATAAAAAAATCTTGCATTGATTTGCTAAATATTGTTAGAGGCAGCCTTAAATATAGTCATAGTGGTAATAATAGAATAGTTTATATATATAATGTATATAGTATAGTATAGTATAGTATAGTATAGTATAGTATAGTATAGTATAGTATAGTATAGTATAGTATAGTATAGTATAGTATAGTATAGTATAGTATAGTATAGCATAGTATAGCATAGCATAGCATAGTATAGTATATTATAGTATAGTATAGTATAATATAGTATGGCAATACTCTATATATTGCCATAGTGAAAAATAAATCCTAGAGGAAACTCTGCCTATTATATATTTTTGAAGTCTTGATATCTAAAGCCTAAATTAAAATTTACAACACACTGATTGGAAAAATCTAAAGTAGCATATTTGTTTCATAAATTCACACTGGTAGATGATGAATAAAGAATCCAGATCTAAAACTCAGTAGAGAAAAATAACGCTGATATCCTTCATTTGGGGTTTGGAGATTCTGTAACTCATATAATCCTATATGGACTAAACTGTCATGAAAAGGGACTGATTGACCCAGTATTCAAGGAGAGAGAGTCAGTAGGCAAGTTCAAAATGTTTATTAAATGAAGAGAAACAAAACTAAAGTGGAGCTGCTAGGATCTGTGGCACGTGGTGACTGCAGGTGGGTGGCGGGGCACCCCCCAATCTCAGACACTCTGTTAGTGGGAGAAACACAGGTAAGTGACCACGATCGTCAGACAGAAGATGATTATCTTAGTTGGTCATCTACCTGGTTTAAAAGTCCAGTCCATCTCCTTGGAAAGGGGCGCAATCCAGCCGCTGGATCGATCGATCGATCGATCGATCGATCGATCGATCGATCGATCTATCTATCTATCTATCTATCTATCTATCTATCTATCTATCTATCTATCTATATATATATCTATCTATATATATATATATATATATATATATATAGATAGATATATATATATATATATATATATATATATATATATATATATATATATATATATATATATATATATATATATATATATATATATATATATATATATCTATCTATATATATATATATATATAGATAGATATATATATATATATATATATATATATATATATATATATATATATATATATATATATATATCTGTCATGATTGCTTTAATGTCAAACCCACATGCAGAACACAACGGAGGCTGGGTAAAAGTTTAACAGAGTTTATTAAAGATGTTGATGCACAAAATCATGAACTTGATCTGGAACAGGTCCGGGTTGGGTTCACTGAAGTCTGCAGAGATGACAGTTTGATTAGCTGGGCAGGCAGATGATTAATGAGTCCTTTTAGATAATTCTGATTCTACCTTGATGGGGTCCAAGCTTCTCCTTGTGAGAGAGGGAACCGTTGGGTCCAGAGACTGTTGGTTCAGCAGAGTTCACAAGCAGCTGCAGCATCTAGCTTCTGACTTTGAATGGCAGACCTTGATCAGAGTTTCCAGCTCTTCACAGAGAGCAGCAGAGGAAATCCTAATAGGAATCTTCAGGTTTGGCTCACCAGGGCTGGAAGGCAGGTTAAGCTCACCCAGAGCTTCAGGCTAGAGACAGGTTTCCTGTGAGCAAAAACAAAGGAGGGTTAGAATCAGCTCTCTCACTTGAGACAACTAAGATTCTTTCAGGTATCAGAGGCTCAGGTTGCTAACCAAACTAAGGTCAACACTGCGGCGTCGAAGGAAGGTCTTGCAGCTGCTTATAAAAATGGAAGGTCTCCTGATGAGTAGATGCGTCTCAGGTGTGCTGGAGGGCTCCAGCCCCAGGAGACTCACGGCGCACTCGGCTGGAGGAAGGTGGTACATCCCCAGATCCCAACAATATATATATATATATATATATATATATATATATATATATATATATATATATATATATATAT